AGGCTAAGTGGCTACAGCCCCCCCCCCATAAGGCTAACATTTTATTTTAGTTTCATTTTTAGAATACCTATATGTATGTTGTATACCCGAACATTATAGGCTATAAGTCTAAGTTTATCACGCCTATATGTTCACACCTATAAATAATTAGCCCTTATATAGTTTGCAACTAAACGTTGTTGATTTTTGTTTTGGTTGATAATGAACATTTTGAAACATCGAAGATTATCGTGAACCTACTGTGTGAAATTTGAGATTTGAAAATGTAATTCAAGGTTCCTCATAAAAGTTTGTCTGAATCTTGTCTACCTTTATAAAAAAAAATTTCTACCGGAATATTGAATTAAATTTTTATAAGCATTTGATGTTCAAATTTTTACAACATTGGATTTTTATTCAATTTTTCATGTAGCGATTTTCTTATTTTGCTGTAACACAAAAAAGGAATAGCTGTAGACACTTGACACTTTAAACAATATGTTTATTTTATCATTTTCTATACTTGATAAAATTTTCAAAATACCTTGACTCGTTTCGAGTTGTTCAAGGACATTATCAAATTTCAATTTTTTTAGTTTTTTTTTTTTTTATGTCAATAAAATTGTATTTGTTGGGTCAAAAAAAGGTGAACAGTTAATACAAGGCGTCAAGGCTTCTCGTATATTGTTACAATAGCAGTTGAAAAGTATTCAAAATACATATACACAATTTATTTTATAAGCATTTAAATTTTAAAGTTCAAATTTTGACAAAAATTATCAAAATCTTGAAAACTATCAATAATTGCAATTAAAAATTATAAATGTTTAATTTTTAAAGCTAAAGATTGAAATTTCTAAATAAAGATTCTCATAAATAGTTCATACTGTAACCGAAATCTAAAAAAGTGGGTCACTGTAATGGATGGTGTTAAATTTGAATTCAATGATATAATATCATTGTATATAAGAAAAACGATTCTGTGCGAAGACGGCCATAGTCAGCCTATGATATTACGAAGTATATTTGATGATATTAAGGTGAATAAAGTAATTTATATATAACCTATTTACTCGGAATCTTGTTTTAAATTGTCAATCCTTAGCTATAACAGTTGAACTTTTATACATATTTAAATACAAAATTATTATTAAATTTTAAATGTGACAAAATTTGAACTTAAATGCTTATAATAAAAAAAATTGTGCCTATATGTATTTTTAATATTTTTCAACGGCTATTGTAACAATATACCTATCAGGAGCTTTGCATCAAATTTTCAAGCTTTTTTACCCAACAAATAAAATGTTAATAAATTTTGATAATTATAGAAAGAAAAAACTAAAAAATTGAAAACTGAAAATGTCCTTAAACAGCTCAAAAAGAGTCAAAATATTTTCAAAATTGTATGACTTATATGAAATGCTAATATAAACATTCAGTGAAATTTTCAAGTATCTACAGTAATTTCTTTATAAATTACAACAAAATAAGAAAATCGTTAAGTACATGAGAAATCGAGTGAATATCAAATGTTGTAAAAATATGAATTTCAAACGCTAATAAAAATGTAATTTGAGTTTCTTGTAGACATTTTTTTTTTGATAAAGGTAGACAAACTTATGAGGAATCATGTATTATATTTTCAAATCTTAGATTTAACTACTGTTGAAGAAAATCCAAGCACTTTTACTATCCTAAAAGGTGATGACAGACGCAAAAAAAATGAAAAAGAAAAAAGAAAAAAAACATCATTGTAAAATCAATACATTCATCGTTCCATTCAGAATCTAAAAATACTCACATGTAGTACGAAAAGTGCAGTGTGTAGTACGAAATTTAAAAGTGTGTTATTCTTATTAAAATTTTATAATAATATTATGTACAACTAATTTTATATCTTCACATTATTATTATCTACTACACAGACACACAGTAAACAATATTTTGTGGTGTTACTTGTTACGTCTTATACTCGTATTACAGTTTATATTATTATTCATTGTTATTGAGACTAGCTATTTTTATTATTATCAGCTTAGTAGTGAACGGTGGTACATATAGTATCGTATACTGGTGTTAATCTAGAAATAATTTAGATTTGACCGATTTGGGACTATGTGTGTAGTACGAATAGTACGATAATTTGGAAATTTTAGGGACTGGTCAATACATTCATCGTTTCACTCAGAATCTAAAATTTATAAACACAGTTATATTTTACAGACATTTTAAATTTGGACACAATTACACATCAAATCTAAGAACAACGATTTTAGTTGTTTTATTGTAATTTCAAAATATTATTCGTGGATACATGAAACTTGTAGAGTACCCATATTATTATATTTTATACACACAATGGCATTTTTGAATGTAATTTTCTTGGCAATTATGATTTTAACCTACTGCAGGTAGTAGATACTAGATACTAATGCCTAATACTATAAAATAAACTACTTTAATCACAATAATATCATAAAATATGCCTTCTTAGTAATATTATAGGCTGACAGACCGTTTTCCCTCAGAATCGTTTTGCGCATGCAACGATATTATATCATTGAATTCAAATTTAATAAGGGCCATCCGGCATCCGTAATGGATGTTCCTAATTCATTCCGTAATGATCCATTACAGTGACCCACTTGTAACCTACCAGGGCCGTAGATACGTGGAAGGGGGGGTGTTCAAACCCCTCTTACAACATGGAAAGTAAGTACATTTATTTTAAATATTTAAAACTATACTAATATATTTTATATATTTTTTAAAAATTTTATCAATAATAGTAATAGATGTTTGTGTTGTTATCGGTTATAAGTAAGGTATTTTGTGTATCATCTAAACTACCCCCCCCTGCCCCCCATATAAAATTCCTGTCTACGGCACTGTAACCTACTGTACAGCAGAGCGACATCCGCTTGCCCGCTTTCCATTATATTATGCACTCTAGTTTTCGTAATCAGCTAGTATAAACTGTAAATAGTCAGAAACCACTTATAATATATAGAGCTGTTTTATTTTTACCTAACCTAACAAATTTTAAATCCATATTATTTACCCACGCATTAAAACAAATCTTAATTTATATAGGTAGGTATATCTACAAATAATAACAAAGAGATTATTTAATATTATTTGCTCGTCAGTATTGTGTTACTGAATTCCTATACCTATAATATTATTACATAACAATAACGAGTAAGGAACAAAGATTTCTCTAGAAGGACTCGTGGACACTGGACACTGGCGTATCGTATCGGTGCCGAAGCACTAGCTCGTTCGTGAAAAACGAAAAGCCACTGTACCACGTGGTGCGCTCTTTTCCGATCGGCGACGACATCACACACATACCCACACACACAACGTGCGCGAAAACCGTCGTCCGCTTTACTTGATAAATTAACTTTTTTTTATCTCCGCAGCACCCGCCGCACGTGCGCGGCCACGTTCGTAGACTTGAATGGATTATTAAATACTAAAAAACAAACAAACGAGAAAAAAAAACACACTAATAAAAAATGATAAATTACAATATTATTATTCAGTAATATTAATTACTGAAACCGCCGACGACGATAAGACAGTTGTAAATACTAAATAATAATATTGTAATGTGCGATCGAGTACATGGCGCGGGACGTGACGCCAGTAAGTTGCTGCAGACCATAATATTATAATAATTTGTTATATATTATTATTATTATATGATATAACGATGATGGTGAAAATAATATGTAATGAGACAAAACACAAAGTGGAGAGGATTCGCAAGGAAAATAAAATAAAATAATACAATAAATTATTATAATAATTGTTGTTGTTGTTGTTGTTGTGCACGAGAGAGAGAGAGAGAGAGAGAGAGAGAGAGAGAGAGAGAGAGAGATAGTGTGAGAGAGAGTGATCGACGAGGACGTCATACACGATAGGCGGAAGAGAAGGGGGTGGACACAGCGATTTGGCATCAGCGGCGCGGTGGAGAGGGGAGGGGATCGAGCATCGCTTAGGAGGAGGAGGCGATAGCGTGGCGGCGGCGGCTATTCAATCGCACGCGTATGCTAACGCCGCGATCGCGACGCCGACGTACTACTACAACAACCAATACTAACACTACTACAACAACAACTACTACTACTATACTTATATTTTACTCTGTGCAACTGGTGCCGAATCTGCGCCGGGGTAGTCGCACGCTGAACACGCGTCTGGTAGGTGCGAACACGCTCTCGTGATATTATACAGTCGTCGGCCGATCCGTTCCGTTTTTCTATATTATCGTTCAATAATATTATTATTTGGCGTACGCATTACAATAATATTGTTTATATTATTTTTCGCGTACGCAATTTTATGATATAATATTATACAATTATTAATCATTATATTATTGAAATATATCATTGTAATTCTGTGCGTCTCGCGTCTTTACGAGGTATTTACAGAGCGGTTTTATTTTTTTCACCACTCGTCCATGGGTCGTCGGTGGTAAAAATCTAAATAAAAAATTTAAGAAAATAATTCGCACTTTCTCTCCCGCTTCTCACTTATTACATTATATTATCGTCGTCGTCCGCAAGTGGTGCCGTTCAAAAAACATAATATTATTATTGTTATTGCATCTCTATCATACGCATATTATCATAGAGTACGATACATCGCAAAGTTCGCGCACACGATGAACACAATGGTCACGCCGTTGTCCTCATCAGTCGTCGTTGCCGTCGTCGCCGTCTATCAATCGACCGCCGCGAACGCATCGTTCTGCCGGTGACACGAGAGCTGTATACGTCGCCGAAGTAGCTGTAGAGGTAGGTGGCTAACCGTACGTTCTCGTCGGCACCGATTTTCCTCGACAGTGTTACGCGCCGTTCGGAGCGCCGCACCGTGCACGCCGCTCCGGTTTTCGTTTGTGCACCGGCACCGTCGTTGCACTGCACCGCCACATATCGCTCCGCTCACACGCGTTGAGACGTGCACCTATACGCACCGGCACCAAACCCGCGTGGTACCAACACACTATGAACTCTCCGCAAATGTACGACACGGCGCCGCAGCCGCACGCCCATCAGGCGCAACACCACCAGATCAGCCAACAGGAACTGGCGATGGCCGCCAAGAAAGCGCAGCTCGGGCAGCTCAAAAACAGGTATGACATATCGGAACTGTCTACGCCCGAGATATCGCTCGACCTGCAGAATCTCATCGACGACAGCCAGTTCAGCGAAGGGCTGTTCACGGAGATCCTGCAGCAGGGCCAGGTCAAGTTGCCCAACGGCACTGGCGGGGGTGGAGGCCGAAACGGCGTCAATCAGAACGGTTTCAACTCGCGCACCACTCTCGCGTACATGCCGCAGCCCGTGCACTACGAGAGCACGCCGGCCTCCACTGGCGGTCCCATCAAGGAAGAACCGCCGGAGTCCGTCGAGTTCCGGAACCAGCAGCAACAGCAACAGCAGCAGCAACAGCAGCAGCAGCAGTACCTTAGCAACGGCCAGGGGGGCGCGTTCCAGACGTCGCCGGTGTCCAGCAACGGCAGTAGCTCGCATCTCAAGGCCCATCACCACAACCACCACCGGAAGTCGAGTTCCGGCAGCAACAAGTCCGTGGACAAGAACACGGACGAGTACAAGAGGAGGCGCGAACGGAACAACATAGCTGTCCGCAAGAGCCGGGAAAAGGCGAAGATCCGCAGCCGCGAGACCGAGGAGAAGGTCAAGCTGTTGGTCAAAGAGAACGAGCGGCTGCAGAAAAGGATAGAGCTGCTCAGCGAGGAACTCAACGTGCTCAGGTCGCTATTCACCAACGTGGGCGTCCTGCCCGAGCACCTTCACCGGGAGCTCAACAAACATTTTGATGCCTATCCACACTTGCAGTGATGAACCACCTTATGCGCGTGGTAAATATTAATATTATTACTTTTTATCATTGTTATTACCATGTACCTATATTAAATGATTGTGTTATATTATCGTCGTCGATCTCAGTATAGGTACCTATCCATGCATATTCTACGAAATTACTAATTCGGACTCACCCCCACACCCCCTACCCCACCACCACACACTCAACACTCCACCTGCGCCTTAAAGATTTTCCGCGGGATTTGAAAATCGACCCGAATCTAATGGCACGTGCGCGTCTGAGGCGTTTACCCCCTGTGATCCGCCGATAATAATATAATAGCTATACGCGATGACGTTATAAATTATTATTATAATAATATTGTATGTAATGCGTGCGATTATACGAAATTAAGATGGTTATTATGGCCCGAGGCTGATATTTTGCTGGTGCAAAAAAAAAGGTGACGCGTGTATAATTACAGAGTCACACGTAACACGATATAACACTCGACTGATTTTCACGGTTAGGCGCGGGCGCACGCAACGATTGCGCGTTCGTTTCCTGCGTTCGAACTCGGCAGTAGGTCAACTCGGAAACATCGGCAAATCATTTCGATAATTGAACTGCAAAGGCGCTCGCAATTATTTTAATTCTCCATCGGCGGCTGCAGTTGCACAGTATAATATACACGTCAGTACTCAGTACGTGGGTAGGTTATAGGTAGGTTAGGTTATAGGTATATGTATAGGTGTATTATAACTACTGCAGTAGGTAACCCATCGTCACCCGCTGCACTGCGGGCCCGTATGCATTTGTATTGGAAAACTATAATAATATAATATAATAATGAATTGGTGAAATTTTCATGAATAAAAAACCGTGTATATATGGGTATACTGTATATATAGATTACAGCGCTCGTTATCAGCAGAAATTTAGTGAATATAATATAACACTGGTGTATCGCATCGATTCAATATTATATATTATAACATATAATGAGTTACGTCAAGATCTGCCTTGACCTATAACTCTGCGGGTCATAAACTAAAACCGGCAACAGTAGTTTTATATATTATTTTGATATAAAACGAAAACCGTCTGCACTTGACGGTTAAGGCGCCCACGACAATATAATGTATGTATAACCCTACATTACTGGGGGGGGGTGCTCGTTTACCCTCGGCGGGATCCGGAAGTGCGTCTGGTGAAAACGAAACCCTGCACCGTCAGAAATCTCCACAAATTGTCTTCGGCAATAATGATTAGGTATCGAAAAAATGATAATATATTATTATATCGGTGTACCGGAGGCTTGGCGCCGGCTCCATTGTCGGTGGTGGAGGTGATGTATAATAATCGATCTCGAAAAATCGCTCGGCCTTTGTATCTGACAATTATAATAATAATGTTCGGTGTATATTACTACTATACAATACTACAACAACCGTAATACCACCGTACTTACTATAATATGTCTATATATACAGTTGTACATGACTACTGTTCTGACAATTGCCGACCTTTGACCGTCGCGTATCCTTACAAAGCACAGCGTGTTAATATTACACGACACAATAATAGTAATAATAATATCGCGTAACGGTTTATAAATTAATTACTCGATCGATCTCCCGGGCCAATGCTTTAATAGTATTATAATATACAATATACACACCTCATACACGCATATATTATTATTATATTATACATAATGTTATAACGATATATTATTATTATTATTATATCGTAGAAATGACCACCGCCGCACGTATACACACATTGTTTTCACTCTGCGGCGTGCGTGTGGGTTTCTGGGTCGAGTGTATACTGTTATTATTATTATTATATATTATGCGCGCGCGAGATGGAAACGGCGTTGTCGCGTTACATAATGATAATCATAATAATAATAATAATAATGATAATAATGTTAATACCTAGTACAAAATAACTCTGTTCCCAGTGGTGTACGTTGCGAAACATAAATAATATATAATATATGCACACTCGAAAATTCGCCGGGTTTCCACCACCTCGCCGCCGCGCCGGTCCGACAAAACGATAAATTATAATAATAATATTCGTCCGTCTCTAATACTACGTCATATTATTATTATTATATCGATGTAATAAAATATTACGATGTTGTATAACACTCACGTGTAGTTATAATAATAATATTCTATATAGTGTCCGGCGATGAAAAATAAGCGCCGGCCTTTCGTCCCGGGCGACAAAACCACAAAAGCCATGCGTGGCGAGGACATCGTCGTCGTCCCCAAACGAGAGGGCGCATATAATAATATTAATTTATCTTATACGTTTATCGAAATTATAATAAAATATTATATTATATCATAATATCAGGTGTTCCATCATCACCCATCACCGTAATAATACCATGGTATACCATTTTATCGATATAGGTAGGCGCATTATAATAGTGTACTACACACCAGGCATATAAAGAGGTACCTAGGTACCGACCTAGTTGAGCGATTTCTTTGTGTACACCTTAACCTGTTACTATTATTATATAATGATATATATATATATATATGTGTGTGCTTTGTGTTCGCGCATGCATAATCATTTACACTTTTGTGTGTAGTCGCCCCTTGTTTTTTTTTTTTCACTCGGTGTTTTGTTTTTTACGTCCGAAATTCCCATGGACCCCCTAGACCGCTCGCGGGTTTCTGTGTGCGTGTGTTTGCGGTGCAGTATGTGTGTTCTCGCACGCGCACGTGTGTGTGCGGTGCAGTTTGTTATAAAAGCGCACCCCTCGCGGGCAGGTTATCAGTCTTTGAATATTTTCCCACACACACACTAGCCACCACCTCCACCACCACCACCGTCACCATCGCCTCCGTGTTGCTGCAGGGGCGCGACCGCTGCGTGTGTGTATTCGCGTATTAAAAATCGTAAAAGCGCACACTGCACGGCGAGCAGTTTCGCCCGATACCACCCCGCTTATACCCCCCCGGTTCAATGGAAACGCAGGGATAACATTTATATTATATTATTTCACCGCTTCCGAATAATAGTAATAATAATAGAACACATAAAACGAGTAATAATATAACATAATAATAATAATATTATATAGGAAATGTGCGTGCGTAAACCGACCTATGTGAATATAATAATACACAGTCGTTCCTGCACGACGACTTGTTGAGCGTTTTTTCCCCTTGAACGGGTGTATGTGAGTGGTGCGAACGCTCTCGGGAGGCCCTCCCCCCCCTGATCCGACGACTTCGAATCACTGCTGATGGTGTTGTATTTTTGAGTTGTGACCGTGCGATTATTATGGTTACGATGCTTTCGGTTTTCGAACGCGTGTGTTGTATAGCATAATTTTTAATATTATGGTCGACGAGTTAATATATTATTAATTGATGATATAACAATATAGATATTACTGAACAACTCCCTCAACGGTATGCGAAAATTATTAAAGCTCTTGTTTGATTTATTTTCAGGTTTCAAGAAATTGGCATCGATGAACCCGGTTCAATATCATCTCCTCTCACACTTTTTGGTATTAAACAGGGACATTTTCTGACCTGTTTTTTTATTATTATTATTATTATTATTTTTATTATGATTATTATTAGTTAGAATGTTAAAATTGTTATTGTTCATAAAACTCGTTTATTTAAAGGTTTCTTCGAGACTTGACACAAAAAAATAAAATGATATATTATGTATTAATATAATAATCCTATAATACTGTATAACTACAAAGCATCAATATACGTTAAAATACAAAATAAAAATATATTGGCAGCGGCTCTCAAACGCTGAGCTACAAATATATAATAATAATAACGTGTAATATTATATTTTTTTTACGTACCTATAAACGATTTAGAGCTTTCTTTAAAAAAATATTACGAATCTTACCAAAATCCTTTCGATATCGGGCATATTTTTATACGTGTGTGTCTAAGACATAGATTTATTATAATATATTATGAACTATATTTATTTATTTTTTTACTCGTACAAAATCATTTTAATCAATGCAAATATAATATATTATTATTGTTGTTTTAAAACGCCGCAGCATTATTTACCCCTCCTTTTAGGTTTGTATAGATGTGCATACGCCACGAGTGTTCAATTTTTATTACCTATATCGTTTCGGAGATAATTGCTCGTCTTCTTGTATTTTCTCTAATTATAATTTGTATTTAACTCACATTTTTTTTTTATTTGTACATATTATACAAAGCACATTAACGTGAGAGGATCGGAGTGAACGGATCGACCAAAATATTGTGTATAATCATTTTATCTGTATAGTCTCAATACGCTGTTCCTTGCTGCAGTTATTACAACGACGTCAGCTGAGATGTATATATTATGTTAATATTGTAATATCGTCCACGAATGATCGTATAAATGTTGTATAACAGTATCGTAACACGGAAGCGTTGCCGCCGGCGGACATTCCTGAATATAACCAAAATGTAAAAAAAAAAGAACGAATGTCCGACTTCCACCCCTTCCCCCCGTCAGTATATGGAAACTATAATAATTTGAATATCGATATCACAATATCGTTAAAGTATTATTTGCTTTCCAAAATATACCGTATGGGTTGTGATGCGTATGACTTTCGGTGGTGACACCTGTAGAGTTTATGTGTGTACACAATTTATCATATTATTTACCAGTTTACCACATGCGTTGTGTACGATGTCCGTCGTCCGCGTGTTCAGCTTGGACTGTAAGTACGTATTTAAATCTGCGTTCGTCATCGTTAGGTACTATACCGGAAAAGCACCATTAATTGTTCGTACTCAGATATAGCCCAAGTCCTAAGAGTAAGGTCGAAAACATAGTGTGCATATTTTTATCATCATTTTTGCACCGTATACAAAAAGAGGAAGAGTGTAACCAACAAGTATCGGTTGCTTTCGGTTTGAATATATCTATTGTCGTTATTCGTTTTTTCCCATAAACCCTCGAGCGTCGGAAATGTTAGAGTAGGTACACCTCCGATCCGTTAAATATAAATAAT